AAGAAAGAAACACATATCCCTAATAAGAAGAACGAAGAGGGAGAGGAAAAACAAAAGATGGAAAAAGGAAGAAGTAAAAAGCCAATTATGAAGAAGTTATTATATCCCCAGGCTCCTTTAAGAAAAGACAAAGAAAGACAATTCAGCAGATTTATGGACATATTCAAAAGGCTGCAAATCAATATACCATTTGTGGAAGCCATGGAGCAAATGCCAACATACGTCAAATTCATGAAATAACTCCTCACCAAAAAGAGAAAATTTGTTAAAAAAAGAAACAATAGAACTGGAAGCAGGGTGTAATGCAATTTTTCAAAAATCCTTGCCAAAAAAATCGAAAGACCCTAGCAGTTTTACTATGCCTGTTACCATTGGTGCATTACCGGTGGGAAAAACATTACTTGATTTAGGGGCCAACATAAACCTCATGTCATTATCTATGCTCAAAAGAATAAGAGATTTAGATGTTAGATAAACTAGAATGACTTTACAACTGATTGACCGATCAATAAAGTTTCCTTATGGAGTAATAGAAGATGTTTTAGTTAGAGTGAAAAATTTCATATTTCCTGTTGATTTTTTAATTATGGACATGGAGGAAGATGTGGAAGTTCCATTGATATTGGGAAGGTCATTTATGAAGACTGTCAAAGTGATTATAGATGTTGACAATGACAAGTTGAAAGTTAGAAGTGGAGATGATGAAGTTAATTTTAATCTGTTTGAAGTTGTACAACACCCGAAAGACAAGCAAGATTGCTTTAGAATAGATACTTTGAAGGAGTTACTCATCTCAACTGAAAAATAAGTATACAAGTCAGACCCTTTAGAGAAAGCATTAATGGACGGATGCTACAGTTTGGACATGGAAGAAGAGTCAAAAGTGAATGAATGCCTAATGAATTTGGATAAAACAAAAGAGATGTCATCCCACAATGCCAAGATTGAAGACTTGGGAAAAGAAGAGAAAATTGAAGAAAACAAGATTGAGTTAAAACTGTTGCCGACTCACTTTGATCACTCACCTGCATGAGCCATAGAACAGATAGACGTTGAGCTAATGACGATAAACAAGCGCTCTTGAGAGGCAACCCAGTGTTTTGAATTTGTTTTTCTTCTTGCATTTTAAGTTTTTGGTGCATTGTTAGTTAATTATGAATTGTGTCAATTTTTGAATCGGGTTTGAACAATATTTGGTTTAGCGGTTAATTTATTGTTAAAGTCAGCTACCCATAGGGGACAATATAGCTTTAATGCAAATTTTCACAGACTTTTTTGCAGATTGCTCTAGGTACACCGTGGACTTCTCCATAGGACTTTGAAGCCTTACTCCAATGGTCTGGGGACAATCCAACTTTTTCGGGAGGGGCTGAGGTACAAGATGAGGAGATGTCAAGGGAAGAAAATGAGGGAGGAAACTTAATTTGTTTTTAATGTTTTTAATTTGATGTTATTAAATTTCTTTGTTGTCACACACATTTTGTTTTAGATCCATATATGAAATTATTGCTTATTGTCTAATTTAAATTTAGAACTAAAAAAATTATTTTGATTGTTTCCAATAATAAGTGATTTTAGAATGATGAGTATGATATTGAAAATGGAATTAATGAGGAGAATTAGGAATTAACCGAATTAGAGAAACTAGCTGAAACCCAAGAGAGTAGTGTACCAAAAAATAGTTCAATTGAGTATTAACACTTTATGATGATAACTGTTATTGATTGATTCTTTAGTGTGATTACATGTTAACAAGACTTGAAAATGATAAAGACAATTTTTGTTTGTTGAAAGTAGAAATAACCTAGAGTCAAATAGCCAACTCTGCATTGATTAGAAGAAACTCTTTTGAACCCTATTTGAGCAAAAAACAAGGTTGTTTATTGAAACAAAATCCCTAAACCTAAACAATGTTATCCACCCTTCTTATATTTGAGAAATGGAAGAATTATGAATGAATTCTTGAAAAGAAGAAGAAGGTTGAGTAGAGAAAAAGGGAAAAGAAAAGCATGAAATATTCTGGCTGAGCTGAAATGATAAATGCAAAATAAGAAAAGAAAAAGGAAAGGCAAATGGGTGTGAATGATAACTTGTGAGATTTAGATTGTCAGCTTACTATTATGATGTTGGAACGAAAGCATAAAGTTGAGACTTGACTTGAAGAAAGTTAAACAAGAATCATTCACATAATTTCAATTTCTCAAATACTTTTGTATATCATAGAAAAACCAATGAATTCCTTAATAGCCCAGCCTCATTACAAGCCTCAAAAGACCTTTTGATTTAAGTCTTGCTTAACGAATGTTAATTGCTTGAAGATGATTATCAATAGTGAATTATCTAAATGAAGTGATTGAATGAGATAAACACTTACATGTGAGAGTTAGAGATGATTATATATCATTTTACTTCAGAGATGATGTTTCTCTAAGGATAATTATTGATTAATTATTTCCTATTAGTTTCTGTAACTATAATGCACATATATCATATTTTCACTTGAAGTTGTGAATATCATATGTTGATGAAAAATTATTTTTGTGTTAAGTGTTTTGGAAGAGAAAGTGACAATAAGTAATGAATTTTTGTTTTGGGGGAATTAGTACTTTGCTTGAGGACAAACAAGATTCTAGGTTGAGAGGAATTGTTAAGTGGTAAAAGTTGATGTAATTATATTTTTAATTGTTATTTAACTACTTAAATTATGTTGATTCTAATCTATTTTTCTCCCAATGTAGGATGAATTTGCAGAATACCTTGAAACAAGAGCAATGATAATAATTATCAAGATAATTGAAGAAAAATTGAAAGAAGGAAGAAGATTTTCAGCCTGAAATTTGTCCAAGCGAGACGGATGCTCGCTTAAGCGAAAATACGTTAAAGCTCTCTGGAAGTCACTCGCTCAAGCGAACATTTATTCGCTTGAACGAAAATACGTTAAAGCTCTCGGAAATTCAACTGCTCAAGCGAACATTTCTCGCTTGAGCGAAAATTATCATTTTTTGCTTGAGCGAATGACGCATGACCCAAAATTTCTATAAAAAGATATGACGCATTTTGAGAAATAATTTGTAGGTTTTGAGAAGAAAGGCGCAACAACTACTCCAGTTTTTGTCCAATCTTCAATTCTTCTTCATTTGGATCATTGTAATGACCATCATAAGTGACTAACTTCATTATCTTAGGATTTGGTACACTTCCTTTGAATTCTTTTGTATCTTGATGATATTTTGATATATTAATTTATGTTCTTGATGTTGTTATTCTTATCCTTTGTGCCTTTTTAATGCTTTTATCCTTGATGTTCATATAGATTGGAAAATATATCTTGAAACCCTTAATTAGGTTAAGAATATTTGCTACATTAATTACTAGGAATGATAATTGATGTATTAAGTGCTTAACACCCTAAACCTAACGTTGTATGAGGAATATATGTTTACAAGATTTTCTTATGAATTTCATGTTTGAGGAATCATTGTGAATGATTTAAGTAGGTTGCATCAACATTGATAAGTTAATTGATGTTATTAATTTGACCTAGCAATTATATAAAGGAGGAAAAAAGATTTATGTCAATCATAAGTTCTCATAGTTTATCTTTTTTAAATATATTTTATAGCTTTGTACCGTTTATTTTTAACCTAAATATTTATGAAAAACCAATTTTATGTCAATACACTTAGTAAACATATGATTCATAATTTTCAGTGAAACCGTTCTTCGTGGGATTAACTTTTATTTAATTGAAATATTGTATTGCGATTGATAATATTGGTACGTTTGCTAAAAGATCAACAACTATAAGGTTAAAAAAAATATAAAATATAATAACTAAAAGTAAATAATATAATCAAAATAAAATTTTTAATTAAAAAAATAGAATGAATAAAAATATAATTGAATAGTAAAAAGTGTTAGACAAACTTTTATGATAAAAATATTATTATTATTTACTTGGGAAAAAATAAATGTTTTTTATTATTAAGTTAAAAAATTTTAATATATTTTGTTGTCCTAATTACTTTTTCAATAAAGTGGGTACTAGAGTTTCCAATTTATGGTTTAAGTATTCTTAAAACATTCTAAATAATCTATGAAATTTAGCAAAAATAATGTTGCTTAAGTGCTTGTCTTCGTGTTGACTTGGAATAAGTTAGACTAAATGGAAGAAAATTCTGCTTATCATATTTTAATACAATTTATTAAGAGTCAAAATCCTGAAAACAAAACTCAAATTTCTTATTCATGAAATTATTTAATGTAGTTTTACTCAACAAAACTTTAGGCATTCAAAACATCAAATGGAAAAGAGAACTTGTCTTTGTCATTGAAACCAACATCAACTAAACATTTTTCCAGACAGATACATGTTGAATGATTTATGAGCAAGTTAATTAACCCTAGCAACACGGTAAATTTGCCAATTAACATGATCAACGATCACTGATTAGGAGAAAAGCTGATATAAAATATAAATAGAACTTATTCATACAAACAAGTCAACAATAACACGCTCCTTTCATCAAAAGCAAAAGCAACATCATTTTAAAAAAAATCTGTCTAAAAACGAAAAGTGACTATATTCCATATAGAAAGATAATTTAGGGTTTTGGAGGGTTGTGGACCCCTGTAGGAAACAGAAAGTAAACCAGCATCATAAAGGGAGCGTGTGAAGAGAAAAGAACAAGAAAGCAAAGGAAGCCGATGCCAGAAAGGGGAATTGCATTGATCATTCAAAACCAAAAAGTCAAAGAATCTTTCATGGCTCCTCTTCTTCTCTCATCTGTATAAAGAAAACACCTCACCCATATCATTCATTCACATCCACCATCAAAACACACGCACGTTTACACAGGTACATATATTGTGTTCTGAGTGTGTCCCTCAATTATCTGCACCAAAGTACACGACAGCATAAAATCTTACTCATACACATAATCAATACTGTCACTGTTATCACATCACCAATGCTGGTAGGAAGTTCCATTTCCAACACCATGAAGTTCTTGCACAAGACTCTTGAGAACTTCAAGTCTTGTTTCTCTCCGGGGTACCAAAAGCTTCCCAAAACAGCTCCTCAAAATCATTTCTTGGGCATGGACAACAACAACCCATGTTACAAGGACTTGGAAAAGTTCTACAGTGACTTCACCAAACAATGGGATTCCGAAAAGGAGAAGGGTAGGCAAAAAAGCAAGAAGAAAGGCAAAGAGGTACACCATGAAAGGTTCATTGGATTGAACATTACAAGGCATGAGCAGATGGAGAATGACGAGACTGAGAAAAGAGAGGAATGTGAGAAGAAAAGGACCAAGGGATTAACCAAAGAAAGGGTGAAAGAGAAAGATTCATCTATCAATTTGATGAAGAGTAGGAGGGTAAATGGAAATTATTGCATGGTGGAAAAGAAACTTAGAGAAATGGAGATGTTGGAGATGAGTGATGTGGATTATGTACTTGACATTGAGGAGGTTCTGCATTACTATTCTAGACTCACATGCCCCGTGTATCTTGAAATTGTGGATAAATTTCTGATGGAAATGTACTCTGAGTTCTTGGGGGGTCCTGTTTTTACACCTCGTACTCAAGGCTGAAGTGAATTCATAGGTTGCATGCCTTTGCCTTGTTCTTAAATGTTGCAGTCCATGGATGGCCATGGATGATTTTCTTTTGTTTCAAAAATTTAAATTAATTGTTTTGCAATATTATTGCTTTGATCAATCATCAAAGGATCAACTTGACATGCACTTAGATGTGAACATTCATAATGCATTTTGTTTGGAAATGGCTGTGTTTCTTTTAAAAAATAAAAATAAAGATATTTGTATTTAATATAAAGGTGAAATATGAAGACTTTTTATTAGCTCAATTTGCGGAAATGGAAGGCACCCATAGTCCCCCACAAAAGTCATAAGCCTTTTGCTTTTGCTTTTTCTCTCCTGATTATAAATATGGATGCCTTTTATTTAAAAATTATTAGGTCAAAATTTATTAGAAGTATAACTGTTCAAAATTATTCAATAATTTCTTGCTTTTTACAACTAAAGGCATTTTAAGAAGGTTAAATCCATTCCTGTTTCTCTGAACCAAAAAACACTTGCACCTATATATATATATATATATATATATATATATATATATATATATATATATATATATATATATATATATATATATATATATATATAAATTTTTCAGACTATAATCTACGAAAAGAAAGAGAAAAAAAGTAATTTTTTTTATGTTCATGAATATAAAATTTATGAATAACTGCCCTTGTATAATTATTCAAAATATATTACTTATATAAAGAGAAAATGATGGTAGTAAAATAATATAATTATAAAAGAGATATCCTTGTTATAAAAGTTAAGGTAAAATAAACAAAATTAACTATTTTGCTGTATGCAATGGTCTTATACTTATTAAGTTTTATATTCTGTGTATTCATTCAGTATAAAATAAATGTTTCTAATTTTTTTAACAACTTCGTAAAGGATTTTTACAATTAATTAATCAAAATTTAAAATAAACTAATAGCAATATGCTATGAGTAGTCTTCAATATTGAATATATAATGTGTTACCTACCCAAACATTAAGTATATTTTAATTATGAAATTAAAGAAATCCTTGAAGCAAGGATTATTATAACATAGTTTCCTCTTAAATATGGAGAATATATTAAAGAGTTTAGCGCCTCTCCAAAAGATAATTGTTAGGAAAAATTACTTACCAAATAAAATTTATTATTTACTTTAGATTTCACGAGATGCTTAAAATTAGAAAATAATGTTTGTATAATCAGCTTTTATCAATTTTAAATAACTTATACGTAGAATTCATAATAAAATAATAATTTTATTTAAAAAGTATTTTTTTAATCAACTCGAATATGTGTATTTTTTATAAGTTTTTTTTAGAGTTCTTTAAAAGAAACTCATACAAACCAATTCTAAGAGAAATTTCGTTTCTGTTTTTTTAATATATTATATTAGTACAGGTGTAAAATAGAGTAAAATTAAAATTAAAAATCTTCTTCGTCTTAGTTTAACCGTCAAAGAAAAAAAAATAAAATAGAAATGACAAATAAATAGAAACCCTTTGATTTATTAATTATTTTATGGTGAATAGCTATGATTAAGAAAAAAAAGAAAAAAACATAGTGACAAAGCTTGTATGGTTGAATATTACTTGATGGAACGAAAAGTTATAACTCATTTTATTTTATTACGTAATAATCACCATAACCCATTGAATTTACCTTGCACGCTTCACTTTCTGTCCAATCCCCATGAGCCCTAACCCTAACATTTTTTGTGTGTGTGTGACAGCAGAAATATAGGCCCAAAATCCAAATAATGTATAACCCAAGAAGACACTGACCAAGAGCCCATGTGCATTGTAAACTATATATCATAATTTTAAAAATCATATTATTTCAAAATCATTTAATATATCATTGAAACATGCTAAAACTTTTTGCTAAAATACTTTTAAAATCAATTGATTATCAAACCAACAATGCTAAATTTTACAAGATTTGTTGAAAATAATTTAGATTCAAGTTAATAGTAAAACCAAATTATATCCATTGCTCTCAGTGATACATATAAAAATTAATATTGTCAAAATCTAATTATCAACAAAATGTTTTAGGTGGCAAAATATTCTCACCAAAGCAAATTCTCCTTCTTAAGATGATTATATGAGGTTGCAATGTGCTTTGGATATGGTCACACACATGGTTCAATTGCTACGAATAAAAGGAAAAAGAAACGACAGACAGAGGTTGGAACAAACGTCCAAGAGTCTGAGAAAAGATGACACTTTTTTTTCAAGTACAGATTCAAAGGTTTTCTCCACTATGTAAGGTGGATCCCAATTTTTCTCCTACCTCTATTGACCAAGAATTGAAGGGATGACATATCAATGAAAATGATGATTCAAGAAATTGTGTATAACAGCATGAGTGTGTTGCATCTGGTCTTATCATAGGGTATAGAAGAGTCCACTCGTGGTTTCCATTGACATTCCAAGAATATCAAGATATCCAAACAATAAATCAAACGCACTATTTCTTTTCAATCAAAGTTTTTCTAGTCATCAAAACCTTATTATATTTATGTTAAGCTTCACTTCAGTCAATGATGCCTCAATAACGAAATATTTAAGTGTTTACATGTCTATATTATTTTGGAGTATGCATTATTCTAGCTAGTTTGTAAGTGTGTTCTCGTTTCTAAATTGATGTCAGTGCTACTACACACAGTACTGCAACATTGACAAGTTGTTCCTTCCATTTCATCTGTTGAAAAGTTTCTGTCCTTACACAAAGCATGCAATCAGAATCGTGTGATGATAAAATATAAGACAATGTGAATGGTTCATGATTTAAAGCTTAGCACCATTCTCAGATGATATCTTGATTGCAGGTAATTGATTTGACAAAAATCTGTCACATTACATATAACTAGGGCTATATATATATATATATAGGTTATATATTCCAAGTAAAACTAGTTATTAGGTTTTATACTGTGGATCAATTTTAGTTTGGCAATCTGCAGTAGCTAGTTTGTTCTGTTTTGTCCTACACTCTCTAATATTTTGTTAAGAATGGTGATCAGAAATCAGAATTGAAGGGTCCTCTAGGTGATGAGGTAGACAGAAAGAGAGACTTCAAATGGAAATTAATTGTAACATGTTTGGTTTGGAATCCGGAACATGTGGGGAGAGGATTGGTGTAGTTAATGATTGAACATTATAAATTGAAAGTGGTGGTCCATGTAAACCTACCATGACCCTCCTCGAGAGAAAGATGCTAGAGTTGATATATTTGGAAGTACACCAAATCGCGGAAGTAACAAAGAATAGGATGGAACATCGTTCTCACAAGTGTTGGATTTCTATGTACCACTGTACTAATTCAGCTGCTACAATGACATCAATTTAATTAAAAAATGATGAACAAAAGAAAACAACTAAAGGAGAGCAAAACAAAACCCAATAACAACAAAAACATTTATTCTTATATTGTAAACTTCAGTTATCAGTTTTGTAGTGTAAGAAAACTTCTATATGCATGTTTATGCGGATCATGTCATTTGTGTTTTAATCACTTTCACAAGCTGTTTATCAAATTATTAGTTTATTTTTCTCTTAGTTAATTAGTTATTTCAAACAAAGGATATTTTACTTTTCATATTTTTAAATTATTTCTATTTTTTGAAATCAAGATTAGACTCAATGAGGTATTTTTAAATTATGTTTCCATCAACCAAATGATTTTTTTTGAAAATTAAAATGTTAGAAACAAATTGTTTTTATATTTTATTTTAATTTTTATAATAAATTAACAATAATATCATATTAATTAAATAAATATTTTCTTAAATAGTTTATGATTATATAAATTAATTTTTTAAACATCAGTACAGTACATGAAATATTTAACATTGACAGAGATACTATAGTAATCCAAATTATTTTTTTTTCGATTAATTTTACTTTTTTTAACTTAATTCATTCTAATATTGATTGAAGATGAGTATTTTTTTTTCACTCTTTTAGTGATTAAGGTATGTTTCCTTAACTTCTCTTATGGTATGTTTGAGTGTTAAATTTTCAAACAAAAGAGAATAAATTATTTTTTATTTATAATAATAAGCACTCCTGTTAAGATAAAAATAAAACAACAATTTAACATTATTTTATAATTTTTAATCTAAAAATAAAAAATACTTTAAAAATTACACTCCCAAAATGTGGCCTATCATTACAATTATACAGTTTGAGATGTCTCTTTCCTAACTTGACTCAAATTTCCTTTTAAATTCAAAGTTTTATGAACTCAAAAAAAATGTGCTTAATTGGATAATTCACTTGAAATTGATAATAAATTACATAATTCACTTAAAATTTTTAATATTAAATCAAGTATAAAAAAAGACCATGTTTAATTAACAAACACTTTGAGTTAGTTTCTAATTTATTTACTAGCTAAAAATATTATTTAACCTTAATAATATTATTTCTTTAGTTTGTAGTGTTTTAGGAGACATTGTTTAAAGCAAATTTTTTTAAACAATAGTTTTTAGTGTTTATCTGTTTATACTTAAAATATTTATTGAATATATTTTTTTCAATTTCGGGTTTTGTACTATTATTTCTCTTCTTCCCGTATTGTTGATTTAAATATTTCACAATTTACATTTTTATTATATTATTTTAACATTATTTAATAACAGTATATAATATCTACTTAAAAATGTATATTAACTTATTTTATTTTTTTGATTAAGAATATTTTAAAATAACATGTAAGATTAGCAGTAAAATACAATATAAAAATTATGATAGTTGAAACTGATAATATAATTAAAATAATTAAAACAAAAGAAAAATTTATTATAAAAGTAAATTACTTCAAAATATTGTTTTCAGTAAAATAAAATTAAATATTATACAAACAATAGTTCATATTTATCATTTTATATTTATTAATCACTTTAACATATGAAATACTAAAAATTTAAGAACTGGAATAGCCAGCAACTCTAGAAAAGTTATTTTTTCAAGATAATTATAATTAG